AGAGTCATCACATTTAATGAAATAACCCTTAAAATACCCCTCGACTGACGAACCAACACTTCGTTCTCCCCAAAATGAAGTTGTCTTTACGAAACGACACCATAATAAACTTGCTAAAAAAATATAAAATATAAAATAATAAATTAAAATAATAATAAACACTACATTTGGACATAAAATGACTAAATAACTAATGGAAAGACTACTGTTAATATACAATAATGAAATATATTAAAAAATAATATAAAAAGATATTAGACTCCTAAATAAACTGAAAATTATAATAAAATAATATAAAAAGATATTAAGGGACTCCTAAATAAAACTCTAAAAACTAACAGATAATATAGGATTTTTAATCTTATCCGAACACAATTATCTTTTACTTTAATATATATCTCCAAAATTTTCACCAAAAAGGGAAATTGCATAATTACTCACTCCTCAGTTTTTGAGAATTTTAAAAAAAAAACAATTATATATATATATATAATATATATATATATATATATATATAATATATATATATACAAAATGCTTTGTGTGGCATTTTAGCTTTTCTAATCTTTACAAATGGGGAGAGAAAATTGGGATTCGTAAAAAAACACCTCTGCTAAATTTATGGATTAGCAAAAATATCATTAAGGATTTAATTTTATTGATTGAAAAATAATGATACTTTTGATTGATTATACTCCGTCTGTCCCATTTTATTTGCATGGTTTCACAAAACACACATATAAAGAATTTAGTCAATAAAAATTATTTTGCCCTTTTTTACTCTTTAACTCATTAATATATTAATAAAAGTCATTTATTTAATGAACAAATATAAAACTTATTATGGAAAAAATAATTGTTTAAATATACAAATTTAGAAACCTTGCAAACATTTTGAACATCTCAAAAAGGAATAACAAGCAAACAAAATAGGAACAAGGAATAACAAGCAAACAAAATAGGATGGATGGAGTATTAATTGTCTATTTAAATTTAATTCTATTGGATAAAATAAGAAATTATATTATATAACTAAATAAGGTATATATTAAATATGTTCATAATATAAGAATTCAACTTGATAAAATAAGAAATTATATTATATATTAAATATGTATACTATAAATATAGTAAAGAATATAAGATCAATTTATTTTGTTAGTAATATTTAATTTAAACAAGTAATAAAGTTTACCATATCATATTTGTTATTAAATTAAGTTTATTAAATTGTTTCATTGTTTGTTTTCATTTACTATAGTAGAATAAATGTAATTGTTATTTTTAATTTTATTGATTATGAATTAAATTAAAAATAAATATTATAATTGGTAAAAGCTATTTCATGAGAAATTAATATTGTTATTATAATAATTACACTTTTCAATTGCCATATTAAAAAAAAACATATTATAAGAAATATTAATTAATAGAAAAGCTATTTTATTGCATAAGGACTATTACATAAGAAATTTTTTAAACATTATTTCCTCCATATATGCACGCTTCAAAATGTTACTTTATGTTATTTTTATGTTTTTATTTTTTTATTTTTGTTACTTATTTTATAAGTTTTTTCATTTGTATCTTTGTTAATGGTTATTTATGTGATTTAATTTTTTTTTTTCCAATTCTCGCTGATATTTTGGCTTGCTTATCTACCTGTTAAGAGCTTTTTAATAAATTAGAGTTTTTATACCTTTATATAATTAGATTTGTTTCATTTAATAAATTATCTATAAAATTTATTTAATTATTAGAAACAAAAATCATTTAATTATTTCTTTTTAACAAATGATTATTTGAAACAGAAATACATAATATAATTTTCTTTTCCTTAAGAAGGGATTATTGTACTTCAAAATAGGATAATTGCTAAAAAATAATAAAATAAAAATTGAGGTATATATCAATAGGTAAATCTCTTTTTAAAATAAAAATAAATAATATAAATTAATACTCATATGTATTGTTGTCGAATATTTATCGTGTGACCTTAAAATATAGGATTTCAATTTTCACCGATAAGATTATACCATACCTACTTATAGAACAAGTTAGTTATTAAAAGGAGATTCAATATCACAGATAATGAAAGTAAAGTAAATAAGAAGAAACTACTTATAAAATTTAGGTAGATAAGCTGCTTCTGATTGGAAAGTCAATGTAGGACTTACTTTATGAATGAAGTTTGTACAAGCATATGGGCGGATATGATTTCTCTTTTTTCTTCTAAAGATTCTAATTATAAAAGTATTTTTAGATGGTTTAGATTTTTATTTTTATTTTTTTTAATGTTTTAATGGATAATGGCTTATATATTCAACCACCCGAATTTTTATTTTTAAAATTTCTAATAAATTAACTCCCTACGAATTAATTTAACCAGTTAAATATATATAATATATATATATATATATATATATATATAATATATATATATATATATATATATAATTTAAAACAGTTGAACTAACCCCACTTTAATCTGAAACTCGAAATTATATATATAATTTAAACAGTTGAACTAACCCCACTTTAATTGAAACTCGAATGAAAACCAATTGGAAAATCGAAAACCAGCAAAATCGAAACAAATCAGCCCAAAAACCCACCCAAGCACCTTCTACAAGCCCTCCCCTCTATTTCCAGCGCTAACCCGCCTCTTCCCCCTCCCCCTCGTTTTCCGACCACCTGAGCTCCTCGCCGCATCAAGCTCCGGCCTCGCCTCTCTCCGTTCGTCTCTGGTGTGAGCGGCTGTCGCAGGAAGAGCCGCGACCGGAATCGTGTCGAGTCGCCTGCTCCGTGACTTTTCGGTGTTGACGGCTCCTCTCTCATCAACGGAGAAGCGCCGTTCTCTCCTCCGTTCTCTCCTTCATCTCCGGCGAACGCAGCAACGCAGGAGAAGCTGCGACTGTGCCTCGATCGGACAGTTGCGTTGCAGCTGTCTCCTCGTTTTTTTTCGGTGAGCCCAGCCAATGACCAGCCGGACTACATCCTCTCCTCGCCTCCAGCCACCTTTCCGCCCATTTTCGGTCAAGTCAGCGGCGGCAGCGACTGTGTTCGTGGTTTGTCGTCACTGCCAGCCATTTTAACCGGAAAATTTCGATTTCTAGCCTGTTTTGCAACTGGGTAATCCATTTTTCTTGATTCTTTTAGGTGGAATTCACAAGTGTTAATTTTAGTTGAAAGGATTGTAGTAGATTGGATTAATGCGTAGATTTCACTACTAGTTTGGATTCCGCAGCTGAATTTGGAGAATTTTGTTATAATTACTATTGTCGGGAATTATGAATCGAGTTTTGATGAGTTCAGTAAGATAAATTGTATACGTTAAATATTTGTTGGGATCTTGATTTTAATATCTGGTTGGTTTACCAAAAACAAGTTTCTTTGGTATACCAAAAACAAGTTTCTTTGGTATAAAGATTATTAGTATACGATTTCTTTATATTTATCTTTATGAAAGATTATATTTGTTTGGTAATTAGCTATAGAAGTTAATTTTGTTGATGTGGTATAAGAGGAATTGATAATATTACGGTAATAAATTGGAAGGTTGTTTTAAGTTATAATTAATGTTTGTGTTAATTTATGAATTGGCAAGTCTTGCTCAATATGTGTTAACTTGAATAGTAAATATCTTCAGTAACATATTTGCCAGTTGATATACATTTAATTTGAGTGATTGATGTGTAAAAAGAAAATTGGCTTGAGCAATAGACGGTAAAACATGGTTGCAATGCCCATTCTTTGGAAGTTATTGAATACAAGAGCAAGAGAATAATTAAAAAGTATTCGCTGCTTGTTTTTCATTTAACAAAAGACAAAAGGGTTCTGCAAGTCATTAAGGATCGATTATGCAGAAACGGGAAATGAAACAAGCTACTAACAGATCCTGAAGATCCGGATCTTCTTCTTGCGAAATTTCAACTCTGTTTTCCATGTCGCCTCCGCAGCAGTCCTGCTCTTCAACCGCAGTACCAGTGCCAGATTTTAATTTTAATGGAGACTGAAGAATGAAAAAAAAAAAAATCGTCCCTCTCGCTGACAGCATCTTCTCCTGTCTCTATCTGTCCAGCACCGTAGGAAGGGAACAGTTGCGAGTTGTACTTTTTTCGATCGGCAAAACTCCTTCAATGCTTCACTTCGTTTCCTTTTCCGGCAAGCCCATCCAAATCCAATGAAACCAGAATCTTCTTTTGTCTCCAGCACTTATCAGTCCTCCATCGCCTTTTTCTCCGGCCAAGCTAGCATAGGCAGAGCTGAAATCTGGAGAACAACTGTTACTGTTTGCTATCAAAACGGAAAACTCCATCTTCTCAACGCGTTTCTACTACTGGTATGTGCGCTGCTGGCCTTGTTCCATGAATTGATAAGACTAAAAATACCGGGGAAAGGCGGTTGCTTGGTTTGGATGTTTGTATGTTCTATTACAGCCGACATCAAATATTGATCAGATGATAAATGTTTTATTACTGTCAGTTTTTGAATTTTCTTGGAAATCAAGATCTATTAAAATTGTAAGTCTTGCGTTTGTCGCATGTGAGTTGTCTTGCGCTTTTGCATGAGTGGCTCTTTTCTATTGAAATTATGGCCAATTTTTCTGTGCTTTCGAATTTGGATGTTATGACATATACTTTGGCTGCAATCTAGCGACTAGCTGCTACATTTGAAATATGAATATTCTTTGTTGGAACTATTGAGGTCTGGGCAACCCTCGAGCAGTAAATGCGCTTCATGAACTTATTCGATGCAATAAGCCAACTATTATTTTTCTGTCCGAAACTCTAGTTGCTTTGAATAAAATTGAACAACTCCGCTGCAGATTTCATTTCGATTGTTGTTTTGCGGTGGATCTGGTGGGATGTAGTGGTGGTTTAGCCATTTTGTGGCATTCTCAGGTTCATTTAGAGGTTATCCGCTATTCTTCACATTTTATTGATACAAAAGTTGTGGAAAATAACGGTTTTATTTGGCGTCTCACTGGTTTTTATGGTATGCCGGAAAGACACCGTAGGCAAATTTCATGGAATGTCCTTCGCTCCTTAGCTGAGTTGGAAAACCTTCCTTGGTTAATTTGTGGAGATTTTAATGACCTAATGTTCGCTGAAGAAAAGAAAGGGAGTCGTCCCCACCCTCCATGTTTATTACAGGGTTTCTCAGATACTGTGGCTGACTGTGGTCTAATTGATTTGGGAATGTCTGGGTACCCTTTTACTTGGGCTCACGGTAGAGGTCAACACAGAATAGAGGAACGACTAGACAGAGCTTTGGGAAACATCACTTGGCAGAGTTACTTTCCTAATTATCAGGTCCAGAACTTAGTCTCAAGTAAGTCTGATCACTCTCCCCTTTTTATTCTTACTTCTCCAAGAATTGAAAATATGAGACATCAACGTTTTCGGTTTGAGAATGTTTGGCTAGAAGAATCTGATGTGGACAATGTGGTTAGAGAGAACTGGAACAGTCACGAGGGTATAGATGTAATAGGGAAGATAAAAGTTTGTGGAGAACGTTTGCAGAGTTAGGGTAGACGGTTAAAGCTTCGGTTTAGGCAAGATGCAAAAAAGTTGACAGTGCAGCTTCAGAATCTTCGAATCAGTGGAAATATTGAACAATTTGAAGCTGTGCAGCGTACGCTTGATGATTTTCTTCACCGTGAAGAGGTCTTCTGGTCTCAAAGAGCGAAATCCCATTGGTTGACATCTGGGGACATGAATTCTCGATACTTCCATGCGACTGCTAAAAAACGAAAGAAATCGAAATAGATTTTTCGGTTGAAGGATGCTAGTGGCGAGTGGATAAGTGACAACAATTTACTGAAAGGAATGGTGAGCGATTATTTTATTAATCTATTTGCGGCAGGGGACGTTGACTTAAGTCTTGTTGTGGGCTTATTCTCTCCTTTGGTTTCCGAAAATGACAATTCTATGTTACTTGGAGATATTTCGATGGATAAGGTTAAATTGGCTGTGAAACAGATGCATGCAGACAAAAGCCCAGGGATGGACGGTCTAAATCCTAGATTCTACCAGCGGTTTTGGGATGTTGTGGGTCACGATGTTGTCCATGCAGACAAAAGCCCAGGGATGGACGGTCTAAATCCTAGATTCTACCAGCGGTTTTGGGATGTTGTGGGTCACGATGTTGTCCATAGTTGCCGAGACTGGTTCACTACGGGCATTTTTCCGAATACTCTGAATGATACCATGATTGTGTTGATTCCAAAAGTAGAGGACCCAGAGGCAGTGAAGGATTTTCGACCTATTTCACTTTGTAATGTAGTATACAAAGTGTTTGCTAAGGTTCTGGCGAACAGGCTGAAGACCATTTTGCCTAATATTTCATTATCTCAGTTGGCTTTTGTCCTAGGCCGGTTGCTTTCAGATAATGTGTTAGTTGCTTTTGAGTTAATCCACTCTATGAAAACAAGAATGACAGGCCGACAAGGAGCTTCTGCGTTGAAAGTTGATATTTCCAAAGCTTATGACAGAGTTAATTGGCGCTACCTACAGGCTGCTATGCAGGGCTTGGGTTTTAGCCAGCGTTGGGTTGATTTGATCATGTTGTGTGTTTCCTCTGTTAAATACTATGTTGTGTGTTTCCTCTGTTAAATACTGGGTTGGAGTGAATGGGGATGAGGTTGGCCCAATTATTCCAGAACGGGGGTTGAGACAAGGTTGTCCATTATCGCCCTATCTATTTATTCTTTGTGCTGAAGGACTGTCAAAGCTGTTTTGTAAGTCTGAACGAGAAGGTCGTCTCACAGGCTGTAGAGTCTCGAGAGCTGCTCCCCGGTTATCTCACTTGTTATTTGCAGATGATAGTTTGTTCTTCTTTGAGGCATCATGGACTCAAGCTCTGGAGATTAAAAATATTCTAGCTACCTATGAAGCAGCTTCAGGTCAAGCGGTTAATTGGCAAAAATCCGGTATTTTTTTCAGCTCTAACACTTCTGAATTGGATAAGACTGCTGTTACAGGTGGATAAGACTGCTGTTACAGGGGTTTTAGGTGTGATTGCTCCTTTGAACCATGGACGATATCTCGGCCTGCCATCGTTAATTGGTAGGGAAAGGAGACGCGTTTTTTCGTTCTTGAAGGATCGCGTGAGGAAGTTGGTCAATGGTTGGAACCAGAAACTCCTATCCAAAGCGGGTAAAGAGGTACTCATAAAGGCTGTAGCACAAGCTATCCCTTCATTCTGTATGAGTTCTTTCCTTATACCGGTAGCTATTTTAGTGGAGCTTCAGCGACTAATGAATTTCAATTGGTGGGGTGGGAAGATGAGATGGTTGAGTTGGGAACGGCTTTGTGTAGCGAAGGAAAAAAATGAGTTTGAGGTTGTTAGACATTTACAAAGTGTCAAATCTGGCCTTATTTAGGAAAGCACTGTTGGAGGCTTTTACACACTACAAACTCTTCTCTTCTATAGGCTCTTTTTCAAATCTAAATATTTCCCAAGTGGGAATTTTCTTGGTGCAGGTGTATGGCCGTAATCCAAGTTTTGTTATGCGAGAGGGGATTTGTGCAGCCAAAAAGATGCTATCTGTTCTTGGTTCGATGGAGAATTGGAGTGGTCAATCAGTTAATGTCTGGAATCAGTTAATGTCTGGACCGAACCGTGGCTATTGAGGGATAATCAGTTTCGGGTTCCCTTACCTATTCTTCCTGGCTTTGAGCATATACGGGTTTCCAATCTTATTTTGACACATGGGGCACATGCTTGGAACTTGCCACTGATACATGGTCTTTTTAATCCTTCAATTGCTTAAATTATTACTTCTATTCCTTTAGCTGCAAATGTTCAGGACTACATCCTTATATGGCATTGGACAGATTCTGGGATATACTCTGTGAAATCTGGATACAGAATAGTAGCATCTCAATATGTGGATACTGAAGATGCTTGGCGGTCGCGTTTCTGGAAAACTCTTTGTCACTTCAAATTCCGCCGAAAGTGAGGCATTTTCTCTGGAGATGTTGTCGCGACATCCTGCCAGTTAAAGCAACTTTGGCAAGAAGGGGACTGGAGCTTGATACAGGATGTGATTACTGTGGTACTATTGAAACATTAGTCCATGCTCTCGTTGAGTGTCCGAGAGTAAGCTTTTGTTGGCAATTTTTTGGTATTCGGCTAAGTATTGGGAATTTCCAACTTTCTTACAACTGTTGGAACATTTCTTACAACTGTTTGGAACATTTACATCATTGTGTGGGGAGAACGAAATTTTTGAGGAGAACGAATTTTTTGAGAGCTTCGTTATAGGACTATGGAGTGTTTGGTTGAGCCGTAATGCGTTGAAATGGAATCAAGTGGAAGAAAGACCTTATCATGTGGTTACTCGCGCCAGAAGTATGCTCGCATCTTGGAAGAAAGCCCAGCTGAAGTCGCCAGGTTCAGGTACAGGTACAGGTACTCCTGTAAGTCGAATTTGGTGTCCGCCACCTGTCGGCACTCTTAAAATAAATTTTGATGCAACTCTTCTCCCCTCTGTCAGCCATGGAGCCGTTGGTGCTGTAATTTCAAATTGCAATAGCGGGTTTGTATCAGCAGCAACGTCTTCCTTGCAAGGTTGTTTTTCTCCTGCAGTAGCAGAAGCTCAGGCGTTGGCTCAGGCGTTTAAGAACAGTGTTGTCTTGAGTGGCGGTCAGGCTACTCCAGCTTGAAGATTCAAATTGAAGACCCGATTGTCTTGCAAAAGTTTTCTGTGCTATTTGAGCAAAACTCTGGTCAAGACTTGTGGTCTGAGTTTGGAGTTGTTATTCTGAATGTAAGCTACTGTTAGTCCAATTGCCAAATGTCACATTGGTTTGGATTAGAAGACAACTAATGATAAGCTCATGTTTTGGCTAAATCAGGTTCCTCGTGGAGGGCTTGTTTTCAAACTGGGCTTGTTTTCAAACTTGGGATATTGTGCCCACTTATATTGCTCATTTTTTCTCTTAATAATATATAAACCAATATTAAATGTCAAAAAAAAAATGTTTGTGTTAATTTATAAATTGAGGTTGTGTGGTGACGTTAGGTTAAAGGCAGATGGGAATTCGATTTAATTGATTGTCGATGGGCTATGTGGATTGATTATAATTTATTGAAATTGTTGATATTTAAACAGGTGGATAGCCCAATTTTTAGGAGAAATACTAACGAAATTTCGGCAGAATCTAGTCTAGTTATAACAGTTAGATCAGTAAATAATTTATTAGATGAATTCTTTAATTCTTCACTTAAACTTAGTCCTTTGTCTGATGTATTTCTTTCTTTGTATTCTTAAATTCCTTAGATCGCTCGGACCCTTCTATTTCTCCTTATGGTTAAAATCCTAGAGCTTCTTCTTTCCTCTACCACTTTGAGTAATAATAAATAGTGCATACCATTATTGCATTTGCATAACATTTATTTTATAAACATTATATATATATATATATAAATGAAACTCTAATATTTATTTTTATTATTATAATATTATTAGTATATTATTATACGAATCTCATAAATTTACTATATTACTACTAATATATAATTATACTTTTACGTTTGCGCATTAAGATTGATTTGGTGCATTACGTTGAATGAATTGCTTGATTACTTATGTTATGCTGTGAATTTGCTATGCTTTGTTTGTGTGGAATTAGAATGAAATGGGCCACCACGGGGTTGTGAGAAAGGCCTGCGATACCGTCGACTAAGTATGGAGAGATCAGTGCCTGGTGTGCATCCAATGTTATATGATATGGGAAAACCACGAGGTGGCGGCCTGTTGATATGAAAAAAGAAAAGAGAGTATATGAAAAGTGAATATGGGAGAGGACTGGTCAAGTGAAGATTAGACCGGTCGGCCAGGTATGGGGGATTGGCTTCATGGTGCACACGTTTGAGAGGGCAGGCCATGTGAGAGGATGGCTCGTCGGGATTTTCGGTGACGCCACTGACTAATTTCCACTTGCTTTATTATTTGAAGGTGAAATTACTTGTGAGTGCTGATGTTGTGCCATATGATTGACTGGTTTGTGCTCACTTTAGTATCTTAGGGTTCATTTCGCGTGAATGCCTGTGATATGCATTATATCTGAATCATAAAAGTGAAAGTTATGGGAGAGGACTTCTGTAGGTACAAGGTGAAAGATTAGAAAACCGTAGGATCCTATGGTCGCTTTTAAAACCCAGGTATGGGGAAGGACTTATGGCTTTCAGTGGATGGCCGACCCATACAAGGTGGATATTTGTAGAAGAGAGCGTAGGGTTACTTCCCCAGTTTTAGTTGCTGGTGAGGAGGGAATGGCATTCGTTTCGCGGTGATGATTTTTCTTCAGAGGTGACCGGCCCGTACTTTCTCCAAAATATGAGAATGTATTGCTATATGAATCTCTCTAAGGTTGGAAACGTTAAGTATTTGACTAATTTTCCCACTTGCACTTTATTATATTGATAGGTGAAAATTAACTTGTTGAGCTGCTGATGTGTGTGGCCAATCAATGAATTTTGACGTAGAGTTTGTGCGCACTTTTTTTAAGTTTTATCTTAGGGTAGTCATTTCGCGCTGGAATGACCTGATGATAAATGGCCATTATTTTATCCTTACTATGTTCACAAGAAATTGTAATTTAAGTTACACGTCTTCTTGTTAGACTTAAACTTTGTTAGGGAGAATTAGTAAGCCTTCTGAAATCCGGGTGATGAAAATAAAGCGTCTCGGCAGTGATCCTTTTAGTGGGGGCTAAAAAGTAAATTGCCACTGAAATTTCTGACAATTAGGTATTAATTTGGTGCATTGTTTTGTTATAAACTTGTAGATACAAAAACTCCAAATTACCTTCCCAACCACGTATTGTATGAACTGTTCCACGGTCTGTAGGATTTGGCGTAGGGCTTTAACTCTGACTCTAACAAAGTGTGCTATGTCTAAATGATTTTCTGGATGATATTGCGCGCTTTTTTATTTTAATATAATCTGGGTGTAGGCTGTGATCACAATGTTAGCTCATAGGAAATCTTTGAAACGAAGAGAATGTATTATTTTGCGATAGGAGTCTCGACTTAATATTTTCTCGAGAATAGATTTTAAAGATTGGGCTAGGAAAATTGGTAGTATATGTTATGTAAGATATTAAAGTATCTGAAAATGGTATCAAATTTGATGATAGGGTCCTTTTAGAATGTCTGAGTTTTTCCCTAAGATAGTTTTGTGATGCGATGGTTTGCAAATCATGTATGGATTAGATTATTGTTTAAGGATGCACCACACTAGGGGGACACAACTGCACTATAGGGCTATTAGAGCTTGGTCCGGATCATCACATTGAAAATGGTTCCTAATATTTTTGTGTGGCATGTATGGATTGATAGTTTAGGTTTATTAGGGGCCTCAGGGGCTTTAGAGCTGGTCCGGTCCATGGAAATGGATCGTGACATATATATATAAATAATATGTTCCTTATATTTTTCTAGGATAATTTATTACTAATTTATACAATTATTAGAGTTCGTCATGAATTTATATAAATATTTGATTTTTGTCAAACTAATTTGTTTCACTGGTTTAGGTTTTTATAATCACAAATATATAAATTAAGGTAACAAAACAAGGACAATTTTTAATATATCAATTATTACATTAATTGCTATTATATTTATTTGACTATTAATTAAATTAAAATATTTAATTAAACAAACAACGAGAAAAACATAGCGATACCGTAAGAGATGGTAGTAAAGCATGGTAATGATGAAGCTAGCAAGAGATCATTAATTGATGAAGTTTCCAGCACTTCAAGAGAATGTAAACTCCACCCAGTATACGACCAGCCGTGAAATTCCTAATAACAAAAAATGAATATGTCGATCAACCTAAATTAGAATATGATAGAAATATTTCTTGGCTAGAACAAGATCTACAATAGTTTCGATGAAGCAGTAAATGACACAAGCAACCACTACTAAGAGGAATTTCTAACACTCCATTGCCAAACGGATTGCCTCCACACATGCTAGAATTGAAAGTCAATTATCTCATAATATTACTGAGAAATTTGGATGCCTCGAATGGCTTATGCAATGGAACCAGAATGGTGTGCAAGAATTTTGAAGCCAATGTAATTCATGCCGAAATAACAGTTGGACTGGAAAGCAAGTACTCTTGTCTAGAATACCTCTCTCACATGCAGAAAATAAAGGATACCCATCCCATTTCAAGATAAAGCAATTTTCACTGTCTATATTTTGCAATGGTAATAAATAAAGCTCTGGGGCAAACGATATTCAATGTAGGTGTCTATTTACCACAAGATGTTTTCTCACACTTATAGCTCTACGTGGCACTGTCAAGAGGAATATTGATAACTACAACAAAAGTCCTTGTAAAGTTTTGAGTCTGTTTATGCTTCGCAATGATAATAAAAAAGTCCAAGGGCAAATGGCATCGAATGTGAGTGTCTATTTACCATATGATGGTTTCTCACATGGACAACTCTACATGACATTGTTGAGCGGGATATCAATGTCCACACAAAGGTCCTTGCAAAGTCAGATAAGAAAAAAAAAAAAAAAAAAAAAGGTCCTGCACGTTGCAGAAGTCAGATAAGAAAAAAAAAGAAAAAATCGATAGATAAAAAAAAATAAAAAAAAAAAGACTACAACAACAGAGTTATAATCAAAGTCGTCTACAAGAAGGTCCTGCTACCAAATAGGAAAAAAAAAAAAAAAAAAAAAAGACACAACACAAGTTAACAAAGTCGTCTACAAGAAGGTCTTGCTACCAAATAGGTAACTAAATACGTTCAAAATTTTCATCAATAATGTTAAAAAGATATCATTGTTCAAAATAATAAAGATAATTATTTCAACTTTGCAGTGAAACAATTTTTTAAAAAAGGCTGAATAACTTATTAATACAGAAGCTCTACAAAAGGAAAAGGAGATGGACTGGGCAAAAGGAACAATTGTAATTAACATTTGTAGTAAATATTTTATATCTGAAGATGTAAAATTATGATAGATATTTAAATAAAAGGTACTAAGTCTATTTATCTCTTTTTTTGTCTCAATAGTTTATCTTGCATATAATAAACGTTTGAAATAAATTAAAAAAAAAAAAGTATATATAAGGAAATAAAATTATATAACGATTATCCATGTGCAATGGACGGCAAATGAAAAACCAATATGAATGAATTATATATTATGTATTATTTGCAGTACGTAATAACATATGTAATTAAATAACATTGTAAATATTAAATACGTAGATTCTTTTCCAATGAAGTAAATTTATTTATTATTTTAATATTGACTAATTATATTAAAAAATATCATATTATTAAAATATTAAGTATTTAGACTTATTTTTCTATTTTCTTGATTATTATCAATAAATTTATTACTTTTATGTTAAATGATAACAATAGTGTGAAATATAAATATTCAATTATTCTAAATATTAAAAATTAATAAGCCTATAATGTGCATAAAAAAAAAAGTTTCGACGTTAAAAACATAAATATATTTTTAATACATATAAAGGGGTCGGGATTCAATCAAACAATGGTTGACTCATAGTTTATTTTATTGAAGGTTTTGCAATTTTATATCTGTTTCACAAATTCAAAGTCCGTAGAAAAATGAATTCACCTCTATAATTTAACAGTCTTACAATTCCATTTACTATCCATTTTTTAAAATTTTTTGATAAAAAAATCGTAATTTTACGATATTGTCTGTTTTTATCTGACTTCTCTTTTTTCATTGCAAAACAAGGGTTATAATATAATTTGTAAAAGTTTAGGGACTCCAAATGTTTGATTTTCAAAACACGAAGCACCGAATTGTGTATTTTGCCGATCTTAAGGGTACTTTTGCAATTTTGTGAAAATACCTTTCTATTTAGTTTGGTACATGATGATGTACGACATGGTCGTTTTTAGGGTTATCCGATCTCAGGTCTCTGGTTTCAAGGTTGAGGAATGCGTATCGTCGTTTAGTTGATTCCTCTCTCGTTTCTCTGTTCAGAGGTTGGTTTAATCCTCTCTCTTTCTCCTTGTTTACGTTTTCGGTTGTAGTTTCAATCCTTTTGTTGTTTGTTTGCTTTCATGCTTGTGTTTGGTTTGTCAGAAACTGTTGGAAAATAAAGCAAATAGAAGAAACGAACGGAAAAATTGAAATTCCTAGAATTCTTTTAGACTTCGCAATCTGCCAAATCAGGACATGGTTCTTTAGATTTGTTTTCAGAGTTTGTATTGTTTATTTTCTCACATAAAGAAATTTGGGTGAAACTAGGAGAACATAGGTTTGACTAGAATCTATTCTATACTTAGACTTGGTTTGCGTTTGCAGCTTCCAGGATAATTTTTAAAAAATAATAATTTTTATTTTGAATTTTCCTTGAAACTTTTTGTTGATACCCTTTGGATCCGGATCTCTTACCAATACAGCCTATTATAGTGTTTCCATTAGGTATAGGTGTATATATACAATTTTCAGAGACTACCTGAAAGTTTCTCAGTTTAGCATGTTTACTGTAAAAGTTGAGTAAAAAAAAAAAAAAAAAAAAAAAAAACCATTGCAGAGACTATTTTAGTGTCCTGAAAGTGTTTCTCAGTTTAAGCATGTTTATTGAAAAGTTGAGTAAAAAAAAAAAAAAAAAAAAAAAATATATTCAATGTCATTTTCGTTGGACACTTAACCTGATGTTTAGCTGACCAATAGGTTGGATACATAAACAGATATGGGGAAAAAATTGTAATATCGTCAGAGCTTGTCCTTTTGCATGTTGTACGAACGTGGCCTTTTCTGTGCTGTTTCTTGAGTGGTTATTATATGGATTCATATTGTATTTATACTGATAAATTTAATGAGACTTCCTGTAGTACTATCTATGTATCGCTTTTGCCGCAACTGCCCTTCTCCATACTCTATCTAATTATCATGTCTGCTTTTCTCATTCCTCTGGTCGGGCTCCATCCGCTGCTACCGATGGTTGCGTGGTCTTTGTTTTTTCAAACCGCAGTATTAACTTGTCTCGATTCGCCGTGACACTTCTGAGTGCCTCTTGCGTTGTGTGCATATAGTTGCTCATTTCTGCAGCCATTGATTATTCGCTGGGCTTGTGTGTTCTTTAATCTTACATGCTTAATTTGAGTCTCGTCTGTCTACAGCATCCGTGCACCTCAGCACTGCTTCTCCTATGGCACGATGTATGACTTTGACTTCTTATTGCATGGTTTCGTCTCTTTTTGATAATTTCTCTCACTGTGAATTATTATATCTCTGTCCTGCGATAGCTTGATCGAGTATGACGCTCCATTCTGGTTGTGAAATTGAGCGCCGAGACGAATGTGCGTTATTCATTGGAAGGCTTCTAGATCTCAGCTTTCTTGTACTGTCACAAGCTCATTGATATATCTTCTGCGATCTTATTCACCATTGCACTCACTTTTTCTTATGAAAGATTGCCTTATATCTTGTTGAAGATCTACGCATCCTTAGGTAAAAAAAAAAAAAAAAAAAAAAAATATTCATGTCATTTTCGTTGGACCTAACCTTGATGTTTTAGCTGAAAAGGTTGGAACATAAAAGATATGGGGAAAAATGAAACGTAGAGCTTGTCCTTTTGATTTGTAGACCTTTGTGCTAGTCTGAGTGGAATAGAATAAAACTGAAAATGATGAGATTGAGCACCATGTATGGCGAACTGTTACCTCTAATATCCATCTTGTTTTTAAGGAAACTTCCAGTCCTGAAATTGTGCTTTAGATGTGGCAATACTTTTGCACATTATTGTGTTTAACTACATCTATTGTGCTGTTCAAAACTGCTGATGTGTTATGGATGATAACTTACTCTTATTTGGTTTCTTTTGATATTTTCACTGAAAATCTTGTGGAAGTTGATATTCTTTGTTGAATTGAAGCAACTTGTATTAGGGAGCTAGATTATTTTTCTTGCAATAATTTTGATTGAAATGCCTTTTTCTTTAAAGCTAATTGAAGATAGATCTTAAAGATTTTTCAAGCTTCAGAATGAAGAATATCCTTAAATGAGGAAAGATGAAAAAGGAATTTGCATTTCGTGATATTTTTTATGATAAAAATGGAGATGACTAAGAAATTATTTTAGTTTCTTGTGCATCGAGGTGGCCTTTTGATGAGCTATTTGAAGATAGATGATGGATTCTTTACAAACCTTACTGAATGTAGGTGAAAGAAAATATCCATGTCTGGTATAGATTATGATTATCAAACTTTAGTGTATGTTTGGCAGATTGTACTGAAACACAATGAAACAAATTTGTAGTTCACATACTTCTGTTGAATTTTTATGTTAATTACATACCACTATATTCAATTACATCCTAACAAGCATATGCTAAATGGTTTAAAAAGAAATATTTCTAGTAATAAAGTTTACATACGAACTCTTGTGTTCCCTTCAGGTCCCAAGAGTTTAAGGGACAGGTTGTGAGCAAACTTGAGCATTTTGAGTAATTTTCTTCTAATTTTGGAGGTGCTGTCTTGAGTTGAAGGATTTAAGGCTTTTCTTTTTGTCTCAACTCCAATCACATAGGAAAACTGAGATTCAGATCATGTATGAATTTTCTTGTTTTACTTTCATTAGATTTAATTTCAAATCAAGCAAACCATGTGGGTTGTTCCTGAAGTCATCTTAGAATTATAATTTATCTTTTGTAGCCTGTAAAAGAAAAATTGCGATGTACTAAAATATTCCTTCTAAATTATAAGATTAACACTTCCTTCTTGCTTGTGTTTGGAGATTTCCTTTTAGTAGTAGTTATGGAGACTGGTGCAACCAGTTCTGGAACAGCTGATGGTGCTATCTCACTAATGGACCAGAATGCAACTGATCCTGGACCAATTGATCCTTCTGTTCTTTATGATCAAGAGAATCATGTCTCAGCAGCAGTATGGGAAGGGCAGGTACAGTTTATTCTTAAAATATGTTCTCTCTTTCATTTTCTAAGGGATGACCATTTACCATTTCATTTTAAAATGTTATAGGAGCGTGGTGTGCTTAGATGTCATGAACACACGTCAAAGCTTGGTGAATGGAGGCTTACACAACAACAGATTGAGTTGGTTGAGAAGGCTGGGTTCGGATGTTTAAGAAAGCTTCCTTCCATTAGTCTAGACAATCCACTCATATCTGCTCTTATTGAGAGGTGGAGGAAAGAAACAAACACATTTCACTTGAGGGTTGGAGAAATGACCATAACACTTAAAGATGTGGCATTGTTACTTGGATTAGCAATTGACGGAGAACCTGTTCTAGGTGTGACATATACTTCGTGCAAGGCAGTTTGTGAAAGGTTTCTGGGTAGGATTCCTGATCCTGGGTATATGAGTGGCGGAATGGTAAAACTAAGTTGGTTGAAAGAGTACTTTACCCAATGTCCAGAAAATGCACCACTGGAAGATATTAAGCGATACACTCGTGCTTATCTTTTAAGTGCATAATAAATCTTTTTCAAAATCTAAATATCACAAAGTTTTTTACAAAAATTACATGATTGAATTTATATATTTGATCTATTTTTATTAAATACTTAGAGGAACGTAAATCAACTTTACTAATTAAAGGAGGACCAGTTAAGGGGTTTAATTTTGATTCAGATTTTTGATTTAAAGGATTTAATTTAATCTAAAAGGAAGTGTGAGGACTCAATTGAGTTTTCTTTGTTTTATAACATTTAAGGGTTAGATTGAGTTTTCAGAGACTAATGCTAGATCTAAGTCCAGAACTCCTAACTGATAATGGATTTGTTCGGACCAATCAGCATAGTTCAATCCATTGAACTTAATCAACCCAGTCAATTGAGCATGCTAGGGTTATGGATTTGAAAAAATTTCAGTCAACATGAGCCCTGAATCTATAGAACTGAAGTTAAAGAATTGCTAATTCCAAACATCAAACCTGCTGACCTAAACGATATTAGGGAATTTTGGAAATGTACCTGATTGAATATAGTCTCATTATTCAAATTTGGTTCCTCACTGTGCTGACATGTTGGCACTCAAAAGGGAATGTTCTTTTTTTCCGGGTTCTATTTATCTATTTATGGATATAATTTTTTAGGGGAAATAACTATTTCATTACTGTATTTACCAAAATACAGTAGTCTATCTCAGCATTTTTTGAAAATACACTGATTTTTCCATATGTTTTGCATCTATTATACTACTATGTCCTCCCATCACTTTCTTGTACTTTTTCCATTAAATGCGGGGGCATACTATAATTTTTCCAATGAAAAATCGTTGAGTTTGAAGTGCATTTTCCTATTTTCATAAAGTAGTAAATGGAAAAGTTCAAAAAACGACAGAAGGACATACTAGTTCAACAAGATCAAACATTATGGAAAAAATTAGTGTATTTTTAAAATGCAGAGTCAGACTAATGTATTTTGGTAAATTAGAGGGACAAAATAGTAATTGTTCCAATTTTTTTGTGTTATTGAGATTTATTTTAAAGCTTAAGGTCTTGTAGCTTTTCTTGGTTTTGGATCTTTTATCATTATTCTGATATACATTTAGCTTTGCTTCATATCATTTCATTATGCCTTTGAGATCTTTATGTGAGAAGAATGGATGTAAAATAACCTTTACCTTTACCTAATAACTTCTTGAACAGAAAAAATTGGTGCCTAAAGGTGTTCTGTTAATATTCTAAAAACCACCCATACTTGGTGTAACTACTAAGAAGTAAGTCTATGAAGTAAGTCCACTATGTGTTAGAATTTGGAAGCCAAAGCAGACCAAATGCCAGCTTTCTACTTTTTTTTTTTTGGCCACATAACTAGAATTCACAAGTTCAAATTGCTAGAATTATGCTTTATTGCTGGGTTTTGCTGTGTTCTGCAGTTGAAGAGTTAGTCTTCTTTCAGAAGACACTTCATGGTTTATGCAAATTGCATGTGAAACTGCAAACTGTAAAATGTGGAAAAAGAGACTAGTCCATAAAATATTAATCAACTGTTTGATGCCATTATTTCTGAAAATTTATCTGGTAGATAGTCGCGTGTGATACTATCTTTTGATATGTGATAAATCATTCAAGGACCCTCATTGTAATGAAAAGTTCTCTACATTTTGTTCTGTGTGATGGATTGATACATAAATAACTTGTATCTTTGTATATCAATAGTGTTAGAATATTGACAATGACCATTTACTGTTTTTTGCAGTGTTGGAGTTACTTTCACCTTAATATCGGCCGACCAAAGTTTTATCAGGAGCCAGTACGTGATTGTTTTCCGTTTGTACATTGGTGGAAGGGGAAACAAAGTGCTTCCACTGTGAAACGTGACATAATCTTTTACCGCAAGGCCTTGGACTCTCTGAAACCATGCGACGTGAGTTTTCAATATTGTCTAATATAGATTCTCTTTAGTATCTAGTCTGAAAATAATAATCTTGTCTTGAGATATAGGCTGATATCTAAGTTGTTGAGCTGTTGCAATGCAGGTGGAATGGCTTCCTTACAGTAATATTGATGATGCATTGATACCAGAAAATGTCAGAAACAGTCTGATTCTTGGAAAATCAAAGACAATGTTGATCTGCTTTGACAAAGCTGAAAGGCACCTACCAGATCGTTGCTTAAGGCAACATGGCATGCTTCAAGGAATCCCGGAAGATGTACAGCACTGGGAGAGAAAGACCCGTGGAGTTGACAGTGGGATAGACCTGTCAGGGAAAATGGAATCGGAACTTAATGAATGGTCAGCCCGTAGACTCCACATTGTGCAAGATGATGGTGGTGTTGATGAAATTGAATATATGAAGTGGTATTCAAGAATTACACGTAAATTTGTGGGAAGGCCAGTGACTCCACTGCCCCAGGTCCAAAAACCAGTAAAGTTCAGGACCAAAAAGAAGAGAATGGTAATTCTGAGCTCAGCTTATTGATATTTAATAACTATCGCTTTCTATTATGAATTAATATCTTCTACTTTTGCTTATAAACCTTTTACAGAATTCCGGCTTAAGAGATATTGCTCACTTAGCAGATACATTCTTAATTGAAGGGTTGGATCCTATGCAAATTGATTCAATATCAAGGATCAGGGCTATTGCACATGATTGTTTAGGGGACCATGTACAAGGTGCAGACACAATTGAACTCATAGAAGGTCCAACCGTAGCAGACCATGTTGGAGGTGCAACCATAGCAGACCATGTAGGAGGTGCAACTATAGCAGACCATGTAGGAGGTGCAACTGTACAAGACCATGGAGGAGGTGCGACCATAGCAGACCATGCAGGAATTGTAACCATAGGTGAACATGTAGGAGGTGATATGATAGGAGACCATGTAGGAGGTGATATGATAGGAGACCATGTAGGAGGTGCAACCATAGTATCAACCACTTCACAAAATCAACTTGGCAAAAGAAAAAGGGAAAAGGAGCGGGTGAGAAGGAACTCCAAAGGCAAGCGTAAGCGGAAGGATGACCCAATAGCATTAGAATATTACAGAGCTAGGGAGTTTGATCCAGTTCAGTTTTATGCAGCAGCGCTTAGGGCTGATCCAATGCAAATATGTTGTCATTGTCGTGTTATGAGCCATATGAGTCACATGAGCCATATGAGTCACATGAGTCATATGAGTCATATGAATCATATTGATTATTCAACTATCAAACTTGCAAAAAAGATTAAGAAAAAGGATAAAGCAAGAAAGAAGTCGAGCAAGAAGAGTGGCCGGAAACGCAAGAGGAAGGATGATAGAATGCAAAATGATACTGCTGGCGAGGATGTCCAATCTCAATTACACAGTGCACCAACAAAGGATAATCAACCTCAATTACATAGTGCAGCTATCAAAAACTATCAGATCCAATTGTATCATACCGATAGCAAGGATGATGAATTTCAGCTAGTTGGTGCATCAGCTGTGGTTGAACCTATGCAGCCATGTAATGCTGATGGCGAGTTTGGTGATTCACTATCATGTTTTCCTGCTGCTGTTGAAGGTGAACAATTAGAGCCTCATCATGCAGCTGGAGAAGGTGCAGAAGCAGATTCTAGTCTTGCAGCAGTTAAGGTTGATGACTCAAAGCACTGTGATATAGCTCATGCAGCTGGAGAAGGTGCAGATGCAAAGTCTAGGCTTGCAGCAGTTAAGGTTGATGACTCAAAGCACTGTGATATAGCTCATGCAGCTGGAGAAGGTGCAGATGCAAAGTCTAGGCTTGCAGCAGTTAAGGTTGATGACTCAAAGGCAGCAGTTAAGGTTGATGACTCAAAGCACTGTGATATAGCTCATGCAGCTGGAGAAGGTGCAGATGCAAAGTCTAGGCTTGCAGCAGTTAAGGTTGATGACTCAAAGCATGGTGATATGGCTCATGAGATTGATGACTTGAATCTTTCCCCTGTTGCTGGTGATAGTCTTCCACAAACAGCTAAAATTGTACTCGATGCTGTTCCAGTCTCATCTATTGAAACCAGCAAGGATGGTGAACAGCAGATCAATGCTAGCAAGGATGACGAACAGCATATCGATGCTAGCAAGGATGACGAACAGCACATCGATGCTAGCAAGCATGATGAACAGAAGATCGATTCTAGCAAGGATGATGAACAGCAGATTGATTCTAGCAAGGATGCTGAACAGCAGATCGATTCTAGCAAGGATGATCAACAGCAGATCAATTCTAGCAAGGATGATTAACAGCAGACCGATGCTAGAGTTGCTGTGCTGACAAAAGGTATTGTCATGAACTTTTTTGCGAGAGTCATGTTTTCTGGAGTTGCTTTTCATTATCTGCAATTTTACTGCAAAATCACAGTGTCCAAAATCATCTTTTCCGCAATGCATTGCCTAAAATTTCCGTTCTAACATTGCAGTAAATCCCAAACGCGCTGCTCGGGAAGCTAGCTGAACATAAAAGATGCACGCATTTGATCTCAAGCTCCCCTCCATTAAAAAGGAACAAAGCATTCTCTGTTTCATAATGTACCTTCCAGTTTGGGGATTATTTATTTGTTTGAATGAGAGTCTTGTCCGAGTATGAAACTAGTTATATTTGATGTAGCAGAAAACTGAAATTTGTGTGTCTATGAAACTAGATGTTTGTTCTCTACATGTTACTTATTATTCATCTGAAAGCGGTAAAACTATTATTGTCATTGCAATTAAGCTTGAAGTTGCATCTATCCATTTTTGTTTATATGTTTCTCATCTTAGTTATGATATAGATCTTGTTATTCTGCAGTCAACAAACCTTATTTTAGGGTCCATTTGGATTTGTTTGCATCTGAAATAATGACAGTTTTTTATTATTCGTTTCAAATAGCTATTCATTATCAATCTATATATATGTTGTTTTTTCTGAACTTTTTCTATTTCTCTAATATTAATTTTTTGTTATTATGTAATAAATTTCGTAGTTCTTTAGATTTTAATTTTAGTTGTTATGTAATTAATTTTGCAACTTTTTTTTTTTTTTTTTTTAATTAATTTTTGCAAACTTTTTTTTTTTGTTGTTTTTGATGGCAAACTTGCAATGTTAAGTGTTGTTGGTTATCTCTATTGGTTATTTTAGTTATATATATATATATATATATATATATATATATCTATATTGTAAACTTGCAATCTTAAGTGATTGTTGTAGTTCTCCATTATTAAGTTTAGTTATGTAATTATTATATAACATAAATAGCATGGAAATATATATTATGTTTTGTATATGAATTTAACAATTGTTCATTTTGCAATGCTAAAGAAAGCGTTGTTTAGCTTTAATTTTAATTATTATATAAATAATTCTGTAATTTTTTCGTTGCTTGCAATTTTAAGTGATATTTCTATCTATCTAATATATTTTGAATTTTTTTTTGGATAGTAAGCTTTATTTAATGATAAAATAACTATTAATAAATTAAGTTGATTAATTTATATTGTCTTTCTATTGTCCACTTTCATTTATTTTCTTTATTATATTTTAATAACTAAAGAAGTTAGATTTTGTAATATTGGATAAGATTTAAGTTAAATTTTTATACTAATATTTTTCCACTCATTTCTATTATATGATTTCATAAATATAATATTTTTTTCTATTATATGATTTCATAAATATAATATTTTTGGTTTCTTGAAACTATATATGACGTAATATTATTTGTCTTTCTTCCTATGTATTTTTGTTTTAATAAGCCTGTAAATAGACAAATCAGCCGAATTTGAATTGTTGGAACTGTGTCTTGTTTATATTTGCCAGTTCATTTATAAGCTCAGAAGCCTACTCATACATGCAAATAAATCACTCTGATTGTAAAGTTTGTTGTTATTTTATTTATAATCATATCAAACCTCTTAAAACTACAAGGTTCTAGGTTCATTTCTCATTAATATTGTGATATTAAAATTATTTTAATCCATAGTTCCATCAAGATTCAAAGAGTTGGCTTTGTTTGGCAGGCATAGAAAAGAAAATATTGGACTAAAAAAAAATAATAATAATGGGGAAAGGAAAATAACACTTTCCATCTCAAAATATAAGTCGTTTTTAGATAATTATTTTGCGTCTAAGATTACGAGGACATCAAAATGGAAGATTAACTCATCTTGAGGTGAGATTACTACTTAGATGCTTTCAATAGTTGTTCGCATACAATTGGCTACCAATGGTTTATCATGGGCACAATAGCTAGCACTAGTACGTTAGAGATGCATCCTTCCCGGTCCTCTCGTACTAGGGAAAAATCCTCTCAATGCTCTAACACTCATATAGTGCCCAACATATTCACAAGATGATTGTTGTGGAGATGCGAATACTGAGATAGACGTGTGATTGCATAAGGTTGAATAAAATTAGAAATGATTACATTAGACAAAAGGTGCAAGTAGCAGAGATTGAGGGAAAAAAAAAAAAGATGCTGAAGATGGTATGGTCGCTAAAAAGGAAAGAGACTAACTCAAAACTACTTGGAAGGAAGATTTTGTGAAGAATCTACATTCAAATATTATTGAGGATATAATTATGAACATAAGATTCATGTACCATACCGTAGTTGTTGCTACCTATTTTATAATTTGTTATATTTATTAATATATCAAATTATTTTAATATCCTCCTTTAAAAATCTTTTCTTTAAAAAGTATTTGAATTTCTTTTTCCAACTACACTCTGCTTTGCATTAACATCGGTCAAAAATAAAATTGAAATAAATGATTTATAGAACTGACCCAGCTAATTTGGCACTATAGCTTAGTTTTTATTGTTTTTGTTATTGCAATTATAAAAAAAAAAATTCTTAAAACCTAAAATATCTCCGGTGAAAGATATTTAGCTTGCAACCCTTTTAAAAATACTAGCTAAGTTTAAATCGAGTGTTCAGCAACCTCGATCCCTACAAAGGTGAGAATATAAATTCAATCCTCAAGAAATATACTAATTGGAATGGTCAAAACTTTTATACTCCAGGACTTGAAGAGATTAACACCTCCTTTGATTAAATATTTAAAGTAATTTTGTGAGATTAACTAACTAAAATAAGAAAAGTAATTTATCTAGAATTAAAACAATAATTAATATGTGTGTGTGTGTGGGAATAGGGGGAATAATCTTAGTTATAGTCAATAAAAAATTACATTTTATTAGTGGATTACATATAATTTATAATTAGTATTTTTTTAATAAATACATATAGATAAGCATTTCAAAATTTTAAGTTCTATCTTTTTATTTATTTTTTAATAAATATATAAGACAATGAGACATTTGAAAATTTTATTTTTAAATATTTGATTCTATTTTAATTATAATTTTATAATATTTTATTTACGAGAGATAAAAAAAGTATATTCTTTTAATTAACATTCTTTTTTCTTTATATTTGTATGCTTTGATTGGATAGATTTTTTAAAAATTTTCAAATATAATATATATAATATTTAAAATTTTCAATATAATAATAATAATAATTTTATTTAAAGAGAGAAAAACGAAGAAAAATTACATTCTTTTTTTAATATTATATTCCTTTTTTTCTTTATAATTATATGATTTGATTTGGATAATTTTTAAAAAAATAAATCTTCAAATAAATATATATAAATATTGTTTAGGAGAGAGAGGAGAGAGATAAAAAAAGAAAAAAAGAATGTTTTTTATTAATATTTTTTTCTTTATGTTTGTATGATTTGATTGGATATATTTTTTAAAAAATAAACTTTCAAATAGAATATACATAATTAACCCTTTTAAATTTTATGTTTAAATAAAATGAACATATGCGTGTATGGGATGGCAAACGGTTGAAAATTTTAATTTAAAAATATATGTAATATTTTATTGTTATATCTATTTACACTGAAACATTTTTTGTTAGGTGATATTATAGAATTGTGCATATATAGTTATAATGAATTTTATATAAATGACTATATGAATTGAACAAAAGAGTGTTTGTGTATATACATTAACCGTTATATTACTATTAATCTCATATGAAATGTGTTTTTAACATTATAAAATCTAAATAATATATAATATATGAAAAAAATTATAATTAATATTTAATATAAAAAATAGAAATGAACATAAATAATAAGTAAAAAAAACCAGGGAATGATTGTAGAAATTTTTTCTATATGGTTGTAGAGAAAATTGAGGGTATATTTGGAGACGATAGAATATTTCTTTTATGTAATCTGTTTTTATTAATAATTAATTATTTTAAATTTGTAATTTAGAACAATAAAGAAATAAAATATTTGAATAAACTCATTAACAGACTGTTATTGGATTCTAGCATGATTTACTTTGTAATTTCCATTTGACTTGGCTTTATTCTTTGTTTTTTTTTTTTTTTTTTTTTTTTTTGTGTAACATCAAAAATCAAATTTCATTAAATTATGGCATTTCTAGTTGAAGAATGAGTTGATTTTTGAATTCAAATGGTAATTTTTGAAAACCATAATTTGTTTTTTATTTATATATTGAGCTTCTAAAAAAGAGTTTATTTTTAATAATAATATTTTTATTTTTTATTTTTCTTTTTCGTTACTGAATTAATTTGTAACTACTATCATTTAATTTAATAAGAGATTATATCTCCTTTACAAACTTTAATTTAATAAGAGATTTATATCTCCCTTACAATAAATAGATGGTCTCTTAATTATATTAAGTATTTTTAATTTTCTTGATATTTTTTCTTTTATATCCTAAGTCTGTTTGACTTGAAAGAAAATAATGTTTAGAAAATTGAAAAAAAAAAAGAGAACTATATATTTATATTTTGGATCACTTTTTGGGGTTAAATTATTTGTGAATATGTGTATATATTCGTTTCTTTAATGCGCTAGGTAAGTAATATTGCAACTATAGCCAAAGTGGTCATTACCATTATCAATTCAAATCATATTCTCATTTTCCCTTTTTACCTAGCAATAAAAATAATTTATTATTAATTTTCATTATAGTTGTATATAAATATTGATTTTGGGGTTGAGGGCAAGGATTGAAGATTGAGTGATGACTTGATTTTCCTTTTAAGCATCTATTCAAGAATCTGTATTTATAAATTAGTATTTATAAATTAGGGACTGAAAGATTAGATCTAGGGATTGGGTTGAATTTTATTTTGAGATCACTTTATTTTATAAAAATAGAATTAAGTATATAAGAAGTAGCATTACAAGTAACTCGTACGGAAGAGTGTAACACAAATTAACCGATCGTATTATTTTCATTTAAATAAAAACTTATGGTGTAATATCATATAGATAAAAAAATTAAAAGAGTATAAAAAATGAGTATAAAACAAACATAGTCAACGTGCAATTCACGTCATAAAAAAGATTAGTATATAAAAGTAGAAATATTGGTGTTTGATATAGTTTTTCAACTTTTATTTTGATCTATTGGACACTTTAACTTATAAATTGTACCTATTAAATATTTTGATTGATCTGTTAAATATTTCAACTTATAAAATTAAATCGATTAAACACTTATTGAATAGTTGAAAAATATGAAAATTATTGTTTTAAAAATTACATTAACCACATATAAAATCAAATATTTTACATATAAAAATCAAAAACTTTAAATATTTGTTATTTCTAACGTGATTAGGTGTAAGTTTATTACAAACATAAAAGTTGAAAATGTCACAAAGTCAAATTTAAAATTTAAGATCCCGCAATAATATTTTTTAAAAGTTAAATTATGTATTCAGCCTTCTAATTCCATCTATACGATTTAGACCATTGAAGTTTCTATGCATCTAATTATAACATTAGATGCTATGAAGATATATTAGTCTTAAATAGCCTTTATAATAAGAATAAGAATTAGTAACAACTATGATCAAATCTTATCCTAATCATCATCATTTTGTTAAATCCCCAGTCATTTTCAACTTCTCATGACTTTATCCTAAAAAACCATTTGTAGTGCATAAAGTTCTTTTTTTATTACAACTACAATATAAAAATATGTATAAATATTAATATATAAAAAAGCAAATAATCTTACCAATACCCCTTGTAATGAATATAATTATATAAATAACCACCCAACAAATAGTAATTCCTTAAAATCTCTCATAAAGGAGTAATAAAGAACAAACAAGACCCATTTTTTTTTCTTTTTTATTTTTTTAACTTCACAATGCAACATGCATTTGTTTTATTCAATTATATGTTGAAAAAAAAAATTGTTAGCAAACTATGTATATTAATATTCATTAAAACTATATATGTTCAAAATATTTATTTAACACTCCACTTTATTTCTAATAATAATTTTAGTCATTTCATATTCTTTTCATCTTGGTGATGCTGAATGAGTGTATATTATTTTACCTTTCAGATTTATTGAATGAATAATTAGTTTACTTATTAATTAAAATAAAATTATTCAATTCTAAATAATAAAATCAAATCATACTATCTAAACATCTTACACATTTTGATTTTTTTAATCTACACAACGCACATATTTTATGCTTGAAATAAAAAAAGAAAAAAACTATATAACCACACGAATCGCGAGACACCACCTAATCTTAGTATAAATTATAATGTAACGGCTAAAAAATTCATTCACATATACAATGGTTCTCTTATAATAATACAAACCGTAAGAGACATATACTAGTACAAACCACGAGAGAAAAGGAAAAAAGAAATAGTACATGTTGATTTTCTCCATCAACATAATAATAATAATAATTTCTCCATCAACTTAAAACAGTGCTATGCCATCAATCTAGTGTCTGAGAAAGTGAAGCATGCTCTCTTATTTGCCAACCCATCTCTCTCCTCTCTGAAAAATGCAAAAAAAAAAAAAAAAAAAAAAAAAAAAAAAATCTTCTTGAAAAAAATCAAAAAAAAAAAAAAAAAAAAAAAAAAAAAAAAAAAAAAAAAAAAAAGCAAATCTATCTTTTGACCCCACCTTGGCTTCAAATTCTCACTCAAATGTCATGACCCTCTAATAAATCACTGCCCCACCTTTCATATCAATCACATCATCTCCCCCAACTCTCTCTGTCTCATTCTCAGTCTCAGTCTTAGTCTCATGGTTTGCTTTGCTCTCTCTCTTTCTCTACTCTTCTTTCTAAAACCACCCAAAGCAACACCTACTACCACCACCATAACTCTCCTCCACAATGTTTTTCACTTTCATTTCTTTGTTTTCTCTCTTTCTTTTAATTTCTGTTCAATCTGCTCATGCAACAAATAATGGGATGCTTCCTTCAGAATCTGAAACCCTTTTCAAGATTATGGATTCTATGTCCTCTGATCAGTCTTGGAGAGTCTCTTCCCCTGACCCATGTAAGCCTGGTTCTAGTTGGCCTGGGATTGAATGCAGATTAGGGTTAGATAATCATTTCCATGTCTCTAGGCTTGATTTTGGTACTCATCCAAACCCAACATGTAAACCCACTGCTAAATTTCCCAATCAAATATTTTCTCTTCCTTTTCTTCAATCTGTTTTTTTCTTAAACTGCTTCACTCACACAAAAACTTCTCTCTCTGTTCCACTAAATATTAAACTTTCTAATTCTTCTCTGCAACAACTCAGCCTTAGATCAAATTCTGCTCTTGTTGGTCCAATCCCATCTCAATTTTCCTTTTTAAAGTCCTTTCAAGTCCTTACATTGTCACAAAATCAACTTTCTGGGTCTATTCCTGTTGGAATTTTCAGCTTGGGATCTTTAGTACATCTTGATTTGAGTTATAATATGCTTACAGGTACTATACCGTTTGAATTGGGCAACCTTAAAAACCTTGTGGTTCTTGATTTAAGCTATAATGCACTTACTGGTGTAGTTCCAACCTCAATTGGTCAATTGGGTGTGCTTCAAAAACTTGATTTGAGTTCAAATTCCCTAATGGGTCATATTCCTGATAGCATCGAGAAACTTAGTTCATTGGCTTTCATTGCTTTAAGTAACAACAAACTTAACGGTAATCTTCCAACAGGATTGTCAAAGTTACAAAATTTGCAGTATTTTATCATGGATGACAATCCAATGAATATTCCTTTGCCAGTAGAATTTGGTAAGTTAGTGAAACTACAAGAACTGAGGCTAGCCAATTCTGGGTATTTAGGCACTATACCAACAAGCTTTTCACTGTTGAGTAACTTAACCACTTTGTCTCTTCAAAACAACAGATTGATAGGTGAAATTCCGGTTGGTTTTGGCAGTCTCTCTCATATATATCATTTGAATCTTAGCAGAAATTTGTTGGGTGGAATTGTGCCTTTCAATACAAGTTTCTTGAAGAGGTTAGGAAGAAATTTGGATCTAAGTGGTAACCCAGGCCTCTGTTTAAGTCCAAATGAAGCATATAACGTCAAGATTGGAGTTGGAGTTAGTGTATGTGGTACAAGCAAGAATGGCTCCTTGATCAAGAAATCTCAAGCTTCTCATGGGTTCTCCAAACCATTCTTTATATTTAGTGGTTTGATGTTTCTTGGATTGAATTACATAATTTTTTTAGTATAATATTAATCTATTTTCTTTTAATTAACTTCTCTTGGTTTAATTTTTAGCTTCTTAGTGTTCGATCTTGTAATTCATGTAAAAATTAGTAATGCTATTTGATAGAAATTTGATAAGAGCTGTCCAGTAGTTTAGTGTTTTTTAGTACATTGGGAATTGATTAAGAAATCCTAACCTTCACAACTGGGCTATTAGCTCAACAAGACAATAAGCTATTCTGGGTTCTACTAACTTTAGCAGGAAACTCAGGTTGTTCTGCCATTTTAGGTTGCAAAGATTTAGCAGAAGCCTCTAGAAATGGCTCTAATGATGAGATACTGAGCTTCTGTTTTTTTTTTTTTTTTTAATCCTTAGTCCACTAGGCTACAAGTAAATTCTGGCAGAATGCTGTTCAGTTTGCCTGTATTCTATTTCCAAGAGTCTTTTGCCATTTTCTTTATACCTTTCTACAGTCTACTTTGCAACATGTGCATGATGTCGTAGGGCCTACATTTATGTGTAACAAATGTCCAAGTAATTACCCAATATTTTGTGAAAGTAAATTATTTTTCCAAAAACAAAAGTGAACTTAGCACATTCATGATTTTTTTTTTTTTTATAAAAATCATATAATTTTTGTAAGAAACCGTTTGAGTTTAATAGATGATCTCTGAAAAGATAGGAATTCGATTTGTAAAAAAATATTTAGATAGAAGAGCAATTAAGAATTTCAGAATAAATTAAGTCGAAAAAAAAAAAAATATAATTGAAGTTCCTAGGAATATAAATATGATAGAAGAAAACACCAAACGACTTTTCTCACTCGATTAATGTTAAGGGAAGACTCTAATCACTGTATCTGATATCTCAAATGGATCTTAGGTGTATAGTTCAATGGAACCATATCAAGACAATCTATGATATATTATAATTTGGAGTCTTTATATGTATACCAATTAGTAGTTCTAAATCACCTAGGCTCTGATACCAACAAAAGAGATTATGTGTAAACCTTGTTTATTAATTTATAAATATTTTAATATCTGAATCTGAGTAATTAAACGGTCATACGAATTAGGATCTTTTTGTAAACAATTTGACTATAGTATAACTTCTCCACAGAAATGTGAGGGCCAATGTTCTAAAACAAATAAACCTAAAAAATATTATCATAGCATTAAGGGTAAGAAATAATTTCATCATAGCATTTACTTCGTTTAAATTTATTCCTTTTATAAGATTCAGATCTGTTAAACGGTCCTTTAACAGATTAATTATACAAAACCTTCTAAATCTACAACTAAAAATTCTTATAAAAATTTGACTTGTTACAATTGTGGTAAAAAAGGACATACATCTAAATTTTGTAAATTTAATAAACATCTAAATTTTGTAAATTTAATAAAAGATTACATGAATTAAATTTAGAAGATAATGTTCTAAATAAAATTTATGAATTATATATTGATTCGGATTCCTCGGAATCTGAGATTAATGAAAGTGAAAATCAAATTGATGAATTAGGAACTAATACAAGTTCTTCCAGTTCATCAAAATAAAGATCAAAGTAATTTATTAACAGTAGTTAATGGAATTGAAGATCAAGAAATTAGAGCTAAACTTCTTAAAAAACTAATAAAAAGTTTTGAAGACGAAGATGCCGTAAAAAATATTACTCCTAAAATTCAGTCTAATACTTATGATTTAACTACCATTTTAAATAAAAATCAACCTAAAAAGGTCGATATGGATGAATATACTAAAGAATTATATAAAGAAATTAAGATGCTAAAAAATGAAGTAAAAGAATTAAAAACCCAACTTCAACAAAAAAGTAAAAGAATTAAAAACCCAACTTCAACAAAATTCTAAAAAAATAAAAATACTAGAATCCCAACTTATTTCCAGTTCTTCCTCAGAAGAAGACGAATCAGATAATAATTTAAATGGACAAATAAATGAATTAGATGAAGATGTAGATTGTAATTTTCTCAATCTATTACAAGAAATTACTTCACGAAAATATTTAGTAAAAATAAACATTCAAATAAAGGATTTTGTGATAGATGCAATTGCACTCTTTGACACAGGTGCAGATTTAAACTGTATAAAATCTGATCTAGTTCCTAAAAGATATTGGTTAAAAACTAGTGAAAAATGTAAGTACAGGCCAACAAATCATAAACTTGAAATTAGTAGAAAAACAGATGCAATAATCCATAAATCAAGAATTAGACATAAACACAGTATTTACTATCACCTCAGGTAAATTATTATGGTAATATTTAGGAGTCCATTTATAAATTCTCATCAACCATATTCAGTCTAAGAAGATGTATTAAATTTAAAATAAAAATATTGTAAAGCTTCAATTGGAATTTACAGAAAAAAGCCTAAAAAGAAAACAATTAAAGTTGTTAAAAAGCTCATTCTATTAAAATATTAGAAATAATTCTTTTTGATAAATCTAAAGAAGAAAACTTAAAGATTCGCAAAATAATGGCATATTTAATATAGGGAATTAAAAACCAATTAAATTATTGAAGACATCCAAAATAGAAATTTCAACTCTCAAATTTTATGAAAACAGCATTATGTGCTGATCATCCAAATGCTTGTCTGGGATCGGTAAACAACACATAGTAAACTTACCATATGAAAAGATTTTGATGAAAAAACCATTAAAAAAACTAAAGCTAGACCAATTCAGATGAACCCTGAATTGATTGAGCATTGTAAAAATGAAATCCAAGATTTATTAAACAAAAAATTAATATCTAAATCTCGAAGCCCATGGTCTTGTGCAGCTTTTTATGTAAATAAAAATGCTGAAATAGAACGTGGAGTACCTAGATTAGTAATTAACTATAAACCATTAAACACTGCATTAAAATGGATTAGGTATCCTATTCCAAATAAAAAAGATCTTTTAAAGAAATTATAAAATGCAAATATTTTTAGTAAATTTGACATGAAATCTGGCTATTGGCAAATACAAATTGCCCCTAAAGACAGATATAAAACGACATTTACAGTTCCATTTGGACAATATGAATGGAATGTAATGCCTTTTGGCCTAAAAAATGCTCCTTCTGAATTTCAGAGGATCATAAATGATATTTTTAATCCTTATTCTAAATTTTGTATTGTATATATTGATGATGTGTTAATTTTCAGTACAACAATAGAAGAACATTTTAAACATTTAAAAACTTTCTGCATGATCATTGAGAAAAATGGTTTAGCATTAAGTAAAACTAAAATGGATTTGTTTAAAACTAAAATAAGATTCTTAGGACACTATATAGAACAAGGTATAATTCAACCCATTGAAAGAACTTTAATATTTGGAGAAAAATTCCCAGATGAAATAATTAATAAAACACAACTTCAGAGATTTCTAGGTTGTTTAAACTATGTAATTGATTTTTACCCAAATTTAAATATAAAACCTTTACATAATAGACTTTGTAAAAATGCTCGTCCTTGGACAACTCAGCATACTCAACTCGTAAAAAAGATAAAATCATTAGTAAAAGAAATTTCTTACTTATATATTCCTGATCCTAATGCTTTTAAAATTGTTGAAACTGATGCTTATAATATTGGTTATGGAGGCATTTTAAAACAAAAAATTAATGGTAAAGAAAGAATAATCCAATATACTTCAGGTCATTGGACTTCAACCAATTAAATATCTCTTACCATTAAAAAAGAAATTTTAAAGTAATTGTATTTATAAATTAAATTCCAATCTGTCTTTTAAATAAAAAATTTTTACTTGCGTATTGATTGTAAATCTGCAAAAAGTTTTGCAGAAGGATTCCAAAACCTGCCTTAAACAAATTTTTGCTTCGATGGCAAGCGGTTTTAAGTATTTTAATTTGACATAGAATATATAAAGGTAATGATAATAAATATCTCCAGCTTTCTAACTAGAGAATTCTACAGACGAATGAGAAAGAAGGATAAAGGGAAAGAATTAAACAAGATTCCAGCTCCACAACGTAAACTTTTCTGAGCACTCTGAAGCATAAATTTTTACTTCGTATTGATTGTAAATCTGCAAAAGACGTTTTGCAGAAAGATGTCCAAAACCTTGCCTCTAAACAAATTTTTGCTAGATGGCAAGTGCTTTTAAGTATTTTTGAATTTGACATAGAGTATATTAAAGGTAATGATAACAATATTCCAGACTTTCTAACTAGAGAATTCTTACAGAACAATGGGAAGAAAGAAGGATAAAGAGTTATCAAATCCGTTGATGGCTGTGGATTTGCCAAAAATCCAATATAAATCTACTAGTAATATACATAAATGGTTTGATAAAAATTTTTGAAATCGAAAGTTGAGTATTGTTATAAATATACTAAGGCGCTTGGCAAATTTATATAAAAATTATTATCCTGATAGAATTGAGTTGGTAGCCAACAGACTTGTCGAAACCTCAGGGCCATTATAATAATATATTATTAAGATACTGAATCAGAAACATCAAACATACTTTTGATAAAAATGAATAATTTCTATTCTTCTATTAAAAAATAAAACGCGTCATCCATCCTAAGGATTGGCCCGTATCTTCTTTATAACGCAGTAAAATTTAAAGCATTACATTAAATATATATGATATAATTATTTTGATTATAAAGCAGCGTGGGATAAAGTTTTTTGTCTTCAAAACCCCACAGCTACACATTCATGGTTAATATATTTTGATCAAAATATACGCATTGATTTAAAATTCCCAAATTGGTTTAAACGATGGTGGCAATTTAAAGGAATTTCCGAGGAAATCATTCCTCCTGATATCCATTCTTTGTACCAGTTCTTTAAAACCCATTATAAACCTAAACCTGAAGAAGTTCATATTCCTTCTTTGATGTATTATTGTATGACCTTCTTCACTCCATGGGTATATCAATGGTATTTTGATTATCAGTATGTTTCCAGGAAGCCAAGTATTCCCGATGATAATAAAAAGGACATAAATAAAATGGTGGGATCATTCAAGAATCTCCACCACTAGAACATAAAATCTAGTCAATGGATCCGCAAGTAAATTATCCAGCACATCCTTAAACCAGCTTTAACCTATGCCCATACATTAGCTATCAAGGATAACCCCCAGTATTGG